CAAAAATATGTCTTTGATTACCTGCAATTAATATATTTTGTCCAATTTATCAGTTCTGCATCATATCCGAAATTCAGATTGTGGCTCTGTTCCCAGACGAATCTCTGACTAGTCAGCGCGTTTCTTATTGGTTGAAATGTGTAGAAATCAGAATAACAATCAGGTTTCTAGGCATTTTAACCAATGAGAAGCGTGCTGACTAGTCAGGGATTCTTCTGGGAACAGACCTTGTGTGTGACACAACGAAGAGTCAACGTACAACGCGAACGACAAGAAAATGGCAAGTAAAAAAAAATGTAAAGTCTTAATTACTAATTACACAGTCGTTCTCTTGAGTTCTCCTGCCTAAAATCTATATTGCCTTCCCTAAGATTTTAAATATAAATGATTGAAACTCATACAAGTTTACCACAATTTAAACATAAGATAATTATTTAATTATTATAAATCCATAATTATATTAAAATATAACACTTACGAAGTTACTAAATATTAACTATTTCTAATTAATCATTTAATAATTCTGATAAAAACACGCTTGATTATTTATTTTAGAAATCATACGGGCTATAATCATTAATATGACTATATTAACAATACTTAAATCAAAAAAAGGAATGCTACTGTATTACAATAATTGTAAAACAAGTATGTAATCTCACTCTCGGACTAATTATTAAAAACTGCTCATCTTGTTATAGATGTCGGCGTGTTGTCTCTATTATTTTATTAGCCGTTTAGCTATAGTTTGATTTCAGATAATGCAGATTTTAATGTGCCATTTGTGTTTTTTTATTGGAATTATTATTTTTAGCATATTTGGTTTGGTTGAAGTTATTTTCTCTTAACTCTATGAAGTTATTTTTAAGTGCTCCTGTCCATTTTTCAATTATTAAAGTGCCTTTAGATACAATTAAAATTAATTAGTTGGTGTATAGTATTTGTATATTTGTATATTACTCTGCCCTTGTGAGTTTCTCCCCCATTCTAGAGATTGGTTGGCCACCCATCAGTAGCCATTCTCGTCACTGCTTTTGCAACGCCGTAGAATGGTTCTGAACCTATGAACTGATCTATCACTGATGAGCCTTGCTTGTATTTTCGTTACCCTTATGACCTTCGTGCCCTAATAACCCAGGCTACCTAACATTGCTATGATCACCCAAAGTATTTAGAGCACACATACAATCCCACACCAGCCTAGAATTGACCACCGTGGAACCGAGCACCTGAGTACTGCTTGGCTATATGCGAAGATGACCATCGAAGGATGTGTTCTTTGCTGTGTGTTTATTTCTTCTACACAATAGTGGATTGCCGTTACTTCCACCTGGAAAATTGTGACATCCTTAGATAGGCTTACGTGGAAATATATTCCCTGTTTCGGCCCTACTATTCCAGCTATACCTACGCCTTCCGACGTTCTTGAACCGTCTATATACCAGGTTACCTCAGCTTGAATAGGTACACCTTTTATCCAGTCTTCTCTTCCTGGTATGGTTATGTTAAATTTATTGTTAAACTATTCCTTGTAGCTGTTGCATCTAGCGGTAATCCCATTACCTTGTCTGCTTTTGGCTCTTAGCTTCTGGGTTCAGCGTTTTGACCGTGAAATAACCTGACAGCATGACAGATCTGACTTCGAATTGTATGAAAATATGTAGTGGTAGTAAGTTCAACAAAACTTCCATCGCATTTGTGAGAGTGGTTTTCATGTCCCCCGTTACACACAGGCAGCCATGCCTTTGTGTGGAATTTAACAGCGTTGTCCACCACACCACCGACCCGTAGGTTCATGGGTCTTACAACCCTTGTGTAGAGTCATGAGTCATTTTAGGGTTAAGTCCACAGTTTTTTCCACACATCCTTCTGCACCTATTTAAAGAGATGGCAGCCTTCTGTGTCGCCTTCGCTATGTGAATATTCCATGTGAGCCTTTGATCAAAAAATACCCCATTTTTGTTTCTTTGGCAAATGAAATCTCTGATTCTCCTAGCACCTGTGGTTTTAGGCCTTTTGGTGCTATCTTTTTTGTAAAGTTGACAATGTTTTCTGATCATTGACTGTCAGTCTCTCTTGTTTACACCATTTGTCTACTTTGTTTAGGGCTGTCTGCATTCTTCCTGATATCATCCCAGCAAACTTACCCTGACCACAATTAATGTGGTTTGCATATCCTAGTAGTCTAAGAGCTAGCACCGTTTTCGAGAAAGTATTTCAAGACGTCTGGCTCTTTGATATATCTTTTATTATGCTCTCTGGAACAGCATGCGGCCCGTCTGGCTGCCGATACCCGTTGCGTTCACTACTGCGCATCGAAAGAAAATCCTATATTTTTTATTAATTTAGTCCTATAAATTCTAGTATTGAATATAAATCGAACATGTCTCCATAGCCATAGCGTAGTTTCCGACCACGAACACGATGATTCGAGTTGAATTCGGGTCAGGTCAAGACTTATTTTGTTTATATTCTGATAATAAAGTATTAAATAATTCTGGTAATTAAAAAAAACAAATATTTAATACTTTACTATCAGAATATAAACGAAAATAAAATAAAAGTCTTTGCCCTGACCCGGATTCGAACTCTGAGTCATCGGTTCGTGGTCGGAAACTCTACGCACTGCGCTATGGAGACATGTTCGATTTATATTCAATACTAGAATTTAAAGTACTAATAAAAATATAAGATCTTCTTTCAATGCGCAGTAGAGAACGCAACGTTTACCGGTAGCCAGACGGGCCGCATGCTGTTCTAGAGAGCATAGTAAAAGATATATCAAAGAGCCAGACGTCTTAAAATACTTGTTTTTCCGACGTTGCTAGCTCTCGTACTATAGAGAATAAGTTTTCTTTGGACAGTTCGGTGAAGAGGTCATCTACCAAGGTTTCCCAAAATAGAGGAAATAATACTCCTACTTGTGGACATCTTCCACCCGTTATTGTTTTGATGGTAGCTTGTACCAAAGTGGATGTTACTATCCTATTTTCTAAGGCGGCGTTTATCCATATGGATACTACTGCAGGTGTACCTCTTCTACTCATTGCATTTACTAACGAGTTGATAAAAAAACTTGATAAAAAATAAAAGAATAACATAGAATATATTTCTTTACTCCACAGTATGAATAGCCATAATAAAATTAAGATTGTTTTTAAATGAAACGTTTTTGTCGAAAAATTTTTACATAAAAAAAGTGCAATTTAAAATACAAATCATCAACATGTCCGATCTTTTCCAGATAACTTTGATTTACTGTACTTAATCGAAACTAGAGAATTGGCCTGTACAAGAGTACATAAGCCGATCTATTCTCGAAAACCAAGAGACAAAATAGGTACAATACGTTTGAAGTACAGAGTATGAAAGGAACAAGACAATTCCTTACATATTTACAGTATAAGTAATTAATACTTAAATATAAAATAAGTACTCTATTTTGTAGATTTTCTTACAGTACCAGTGGCGAAATACTCATTGGCCTTAATATTTGTGTTAATTCCAACCTAAAAATTAATCAAAATGGCAACACTGCTACATATCTATAATAGCTAAGTTCGGTAATCACATTCAGATGTCGACGGATTTTTGTCACGTGATCACAGATTGGATGGAGTAACCTGAAATTACCGAACGGTTTGGATTGTTTGGATCGCTAAGGAAAAAATGACAAGTTTGAAATCTTGCAACGTTCAAAGACAAAAGGACCAATAATTTATTTTTTGAGTTTTGTACGTCGTTTTGCATTAAGCAACAAAATAAACAATTTAAAACTTGACAACAACTTGGAAATTAACCTCACTAATTCAAATTAATCTGTTTGCTCCGTCAAAATTCTCCGAGCAAAAAGATCACCGTCCGATTGCTCCTTTGAATAAGAAGACTAAGGAGCATATCAAAAATCTTAGGTACTCCGCGATGGGCCTCAAATATGACCGACTTAAATTCCGGTTTATCAGTGTCGTTCTAATTTTATTTAAAAAATGTAAAACTATGATGTAGGGTAGACGTGGGGTAGACTCAATAATTTGTTGTTTTATTTTACGTTGTGAATAAATGTTGGTAGTTATTAAAATTGTTATAAAAATATATAATTCTAATAAAAATAGATAAGTTATAATAAGTATTTATTAACACAAACATCCGATACGCTACTGAAGCAGGTAAGTCAAATTAACGTATCTAAATTCTTTGACATCTAATCTTTGACAAGTAGTAAATAAAAGCAAAAATGCAAGAAAAAATATATAATTAGTTAATTTAAGTGAATTTCATAAATGATCGGTTTACTACACGTATGTATATCATATAGTCACTTACTAGCGAAAAGTTGTTCCATTATTTCACTCGATTTTTGCCGAGATCTACCGCACGCTACACAACCAACTATTTTAGAGTCTTTTTCGATAAATCGCGATAGTGTCACTGTTAATTTAAGTTCTGCCACAATTTCCATCTAGATTTACTACCTTTATCCAACTATCAGTAGTAGAATAAATAATAAATAACATAAAATAAGCTCGGTAAAGACTGACAAATCCACAAAATTTCAAATCAAATTCAAATGTGTCAAATGAATCGTCAAAAAGAACTGTCAAGGATCCCCACCCTAGAGTGCTTTTTCCGCCCACCATGCATGAATATATGGATAGCATTATGCTCCTTCCTTAGTCTTCTTATTCAAAGGATTGCTCCGATTTTATTTACCGAACGGCTCAGATTTACTTCCCCTACATCTGGATGTCATAAACGATCGATCCGAGCAGTCGGACGTGAAATACCGAACGCTAAATGCTAATGCTATAAAAATCAATTCCTTCCCGCAATTTTTGTTTTTGTGATATCATGTGGTTTGCAGTTAGCAGTTCAATTACTAGTGTTTCATAATGGCATATTTTTACTAGTGTTGATGCGTTTTTGGAGATATTGTGGATATATCTGTCAACAATTAAATTTTTGAAATAAAATAATGGATAATTGGAAATAAAATTCTGACAGACGGCTTATAATTTATACTTAATTTTTATTTATTCTCTAAAGCGTACATCACGTTAAATATAAATAAAATTGGTATGTAATTAACAATGTTAGTGCAGTTATGTAGTCTCAAATTATTCACGCTTTACACTATTCGTATCCTTGTATGAGTAGGATTAACTATTTGGTCATTATCAGGAAAATAAGTTCCAATTAAGACAATGGAAAAGATACCTGTGATTATTAGTAAACCTACTGATGCTGTAACTGTATAAAGATGAGCGTAAACATACCTAAAAAATAAATATTAATAGAGATTATAACTTAAAAATTAGTCAATTCTGTTTTGACCATATCAAAAATATACCCAACGCTAAACAATTTACGATACACGTCATAGCTTTCAAAGGTATCGTTGCTAGGTTTTAAGCTTGATTTTCATGCATCCGTTGTCCGACGATACGTTGATACGATACTAATTTTATTGGTAGAATTTAAAGCCTTTGATTGGTTAGAAAATAACGCAGTTTTTAAATTTATGGCATTTTCATGCCTCCTTTTATCGGATATACGTTGGTAATATTTTATATTTTCGTTTCCATAACGATTTTGCTATTTTACTTATATTTTTATTAAGGTTACATTAAATTTGTCAAAAGTGTCAAAACGTCCGTTATCGTATGAACGGGTCCGTTGACGGGCTGAAGTAAAATATTTGGATGAAAAGTAGCGAGAAAACGCTATGACCAATCAGAGCACCGTCGGACCATAGTATCAACGTATAACGGATGCATGAAAATCAAGCTTTACACGTCCAACCATTTGGAACGAATATTTAAATGTGTGTGCACTGAGACAACATTCTAATTTAAGTAATAAAATAATAATACCATGGACAGCTAAGTCAATCATCAAATAAAAAGCCTAACATTAACATTAAAAAAAATTATTTGTTTTAATATGAAAAAAAAAAATTTATTTGTTCTAAATTTTCAATAATAATCAGAATGAAGTAAGTTTAAAATACAGTATTATCATATCAAGATTTTGTAAAAATGTAATGTTATCCTGGCAACTGTCAATTATATCCACTGCTTGATGACGTATACGAAAATTGATATGAATTGAATTTACATATTTTACTTTAAAAAAAAATCGTTATGTTTGAAGCTTTGTAGTTAACTTCCATATCAAGTAAATATAATTAGGCAGACTGATAGTAAAATCGAACATTTATCTTGCTCTAGTTTAGTTGCTTTTAAATTTGACAAATAATGATAATTGGATATCACTGTCTGGCGGATTTTTGTAAAATAAAATCTTGAATTTTGCAAAATGAAAAAACAGTAGTCAAAGGATATGTGACAGTGGCATTTGTTTTCTGTAATTTTAATTCAAAAGCGGATTGATTTTTTCTGTCATTATTTGAATGTTGTCTGTTATACATACTCTTGCTAGATATATTTTACACAGTATATTATACAGGGTGGAGCCTCTCATACGACGCGGAAGATCCGAGGAAATATGCTCACAAAATGAAATTTTCAAATAATAAAGATCTACTGACGTGAACTCATAAAAATTAAAATATCTCGGCAAATCTTTGTCTAAGGGGTAGGCAACCTTGATAATATTTTGAAGATATATGAATTCCTCATTGAACACTGAAATAATATACTGGGCGTTCCATTTAAAATAAAGGAGTAACTTGCTTTTAAAAGTGACTAATTTTGTCTCATCCTGTATAACTTTTCTGGTCAAATTTTAATTTATTTTAACATACAATGATTATTGTAATTGAAGATCAGGCTTTACAGGGTATATTAAAAAATAGGCAGCTATTATTGAAATTTAAAATTTACTCTTTATTTTCACATAATGTGAACTATGTCAAAATCATTACATTTCAGGCATATATTTTTATAAAAAAAATGCTTTCAATTAACCTACATATGCTCGAAAAATGTCATTTCGATATGAGAGGCGCCACCCTGAAGATATAGGAAGCAAACAACGACTGAAATGATTGGCAATACTATGTAAAGAATTTGCGTTTTAAGGTTAGTGATTGATACACATAATAAAACAAGTTATTATTTGAAAAATTTTAGGGTGCCCTCTTACTGGTAAATATATGTTAATCTGTGTTGAAATATATTTTATTATTTAATGGATACCTCCTAACAAGTATGTATGTGTTTTGTAATAAAACTAGTTTATGAATGAAACTAGTACACCTAACTAAACGTAATACAGGTAACCTAACCTATATTTTATAACAGACTTATTCGATAATTAAATTAGAAAACCTTCAGACTAAATCTATGTATTTCTCATCTCGTTTTGATTAGTTTCATATTATTATGGAAAAAGATTTTAAACATCATCAAAAAATTAATCATATTATTTAATTTTTTTTTGGAACACTAGTAATACGAGCCGATAAATATTCGAATTTCTTAAAGTTAATGCTAACCTAACGAGTAAAATCATAATATCCAACTATTTCCACATTGTTGATATCCCTATATATTTTCTTGCTGGAGAGATTTTATACCGTATGATATACATATGGTAATCGCAAAACAATTTCCGATGCACGTGATCAAGTTTGAGTGACAAGCGATGGCGACAGCGCTGCCAGATTGTGATGGATTTATGAGATGAATCTTAATTTAAAATTGACAAACAACATATTTATTATATCATTTTTTTTAAAGTTTAAAGAGCTCTACGTTTTATTCCTAATTTAATAACTAATATTTTAGTGATTAAGTGATTTATTTGTTTTATAGCTTATTTTACTTATTACATATTGGCAAAAACTAGTTCATTATGAAGATTATTATAAGCGTTATTATGGGTTATTTATTTATTGTTGTACATCTTACAACTCCATAAGTGGTAATAACAAGAGGGTGCTATTAATGCACAAACTAATAATCACAGAATTTAATAAAAACTAACTTTGAAAGTGGCATAATGGGCTTATCAATCAAACTTACTTCTCTGACTGCAGTCAAGGGTAATAAAGGAGCTTTATTGTCACGTTCTCATTCAAAATAGTTTATCAGGGAAGCTAGAAGCTCTTTGCTTCGACTGTTTAAATGCTTCGGCATATTTTCAACACAATTTCAAAAAATTCAATACAAAAACTCGAAAATTTAGTTCTTAAAAGAACTGTTTGTGTTTAAAAGTGCAATTTAAAAAAACTACGAAAACGGCAAAAAACGAGAATTCCTCACAACACAGATTCAACAACAACACGATATTATACAACAACGATCGACACTAGGATAATTGTCAAATAATAAAGAACAACATTGCTGAACACGGCGCAATCTGACTAACATAGCGATAATAAAATTCAGTTTAAACAAATTTTTGTAGCTTTAATTTAATTAAAATATCTGTTACAATCAATTGCTCTATAAAGTAAAATGAAGAGCTGCTCGCTATCTTAAATTATACTACAAATTTAAAAATTTTTGCCAAAAATTCATTTACTCAGGTTTATAGACTTTAGTGTCAATGTCGATATGATTGATGACGTGCATCGGAAAATGTTTTGCGATTACAATACATAAACAATTTAAATACCTGAAATACCATGCAGCTAATAGCATAAAACTAATCAAGGCAAACAAAAAGTTTCCCAGATCCCAATCAATTCCTTGATTATTATTGTTGTTGATATTTGTAACTATAGTAAATGAATGGCCTCTAAGAAGTTCCGGATTCTGGCCAATGTTCCCTTGGATTAGTTCATCGCTTATCGACGGCCTCTTCTGATGTATTAGGCAATGAACGACACAATTATTGAAAAGACCGCAGTTTTGTAAACTTTGACGATCTTCCTTTAAAACTTGGCCATTAAATATTAAACGTACAATCTTATTTGAATTTAGCTCAGTTTCAAAATGCCTCCTGCAATAAAAAAATAAGGTTATTTTTATTAGCAAAGGGAGTAAACGGACCTGTTTTTGAGTTGGTTTATACTTGGATAAGGGCAAAAACCGTCAATGTGACAAAAGTGATTTTTACAGAGAAAACTGATTTAATGATGCCGAATACCAAGAGAGTCTAGAGAATGCCGTAACGTCATCTGATCCTGTCTGTTTTGACAGTATTTGTCTTTGATGGAACAGAAGAACTAAGTAATGCCTAGCCTAGTTACAAAAGCAGCTGTGGCTCCATTGGTAAGGCGGTCGCTTCCGGGTCGAGATTCGAGATGTACCAGGTTTGAATCCATCAAATATAGATTTTTTATTATATTTTGACAGGCTGTTTTGATTGGCGTTGGTTAATATCTGGGGTTCATTTTTTTGTTTATTAGATTATTGCCTATCCCTGCAATGTGTTGGAGTTGAAGCCGAGTTAGAGGCAACTAGATAACCGGTCCATATATACTTCACATATATTCGTCTGATAGGCAGACACTGGCGCAACAGCGCAACTCCAAATATCGATTAGCCGTTACTCTGAGGATTAGATAATAATTGTCGAACGGGAGCGCAAACGAAAGCCGTACGAAGTTGGACGGAGCCGTGCGAATGAACAGCTGGTGCTAGCGTCTAGTCTCACAGGCTAGCGTCTAGTCTTTTATTGGTCTAGTTATCCGATCGATAATTCAAAATCCAGGCTTGCGCACTACGCTTGAGCAGAGCTAGCTGAGCGATTATGCCTTCAGAAGCGAATTCCTTCAGAAGATTTATATACCCATTTCACCGGCTTGGCTTCACAGAATGCAGGTTGGAGTCATGCGAAGGCTGGAGCTGACTCCTGAAAAGACCTGTATTTGCAGACTGACCGGCACAGCAAAACTGGTAGGGGCTTTGGAGGTCAACATTCTGGGAGTGCAAGTGCCAATTAAGGATTAATATTAAATACCTGGGCGTCTGGCTAGACAAAAATGGCACCTTTGTCTACCGCACTCAGACAAAGGCAAAGAACGTAGCGGAGAGTGCAAGTGCTCTAACAAGGCTCACGCCGCGCGATGGTGGCGCCGGCGATTGGGATGCAGGATGCTCGCAACTGCACAGGTGTCTACCGTGCTGTATGCTGCACCAGCATGGGCCGAAACCGCTCTAAAGTTGGCAAAGAATGTTGACACTCTAAACCGGGCACAGAGGACAGTGCTCCTGTATGTAAGCAGGGCAAACAGGACAGTGTCCACAGAAGCACTACAAGTGCTCGCTGGGATAATGCCTCTGGACCTGCAAGCTAGATACAGGAGCGAATCTTACGGGCTAGAGAAAGGTGCTATCAAGGCAAATAAAGAAAAATTCCTGGAGCTGTGGAACAGAAGATGGCAAAGCAGCGATCGGGGCGGCTGGGCTCGGCGCTGGATACCAGACCTGAGACCATGGCTACGAAGAGACCATGGGAGACTGACCTACTGCTTGGTGCAGTTTCTGAGTGGACATGGTACGTTTGCTGCCTACAGGCATCGCATCGGAAAAGCTGCCTCTCCCCACTGCGGAGCTAGTGGCGATGTAGAGGATGCCGGGCACGTACTACTGGAATGCGACCGACATGCGGCACTGAGAACTGACACGGAAGCCATCACAGGACCTCTGACTGAGGAAAGCCTCATCACGGTTATGCTGCGTGACGAGCATTGCTGAAAGGCTGTTGACCAGCTGTGTCTCGATATTCTTATTGAAGTGGACGACGTAGTGGCCGCAAGACGTGTTAGATCTGTGTAAATTGTCCTGCACGGGCTCCTGTTAGTGATAATCAATTCTGTGATAATCAAGATTAAGATTAAGAACTAGAGCGATTCAGTGTCGACGGAGTGACGATTAAAGGTAGGAGTGGATGCTTCCGTATGCCTCACGGCGATCGACATCCACACCTCGCATTTTCGCATCGAACCCCACACTTCGGCGGTAAATCGCTTCCCCTCTTCTCTAACAAAAAAAAAAGGTTGGAGTCATGCAGGTCAAATTTAGCTGGGATCAGATAAAGTTACGGTAATTTATAAACGCTTGTCTGAATACCATGTTAAAGATACAAAAAAATATTGCTGTATGCGTTATTATTTGGATATCGTTTGTTATATTCAATTACATTTTAGCATGTGTTTAGGACTTGGTATTCTCAACAGATTAAGTTGATTACTTAAAAAATTCCTATAAAATGGAAATCATCAATTTCTCCCCTTACCCTTCACTTAATCTTTACTAATTATAAAGTTCGACACAAAGTGACTTTTGGTATAGATTTTGATACAGAACAGATATATGTTAGTATACGAGGTGCATCTCAAAAGTAGCTCACCCCTATAACTTTTATATTTTTTTCGGATGAAAAAACGAGATTTGGTATGTTAGTATATGACATAAATTAGGATTGATTGGTGTATTCAATTGTTTTTGGTCACTTCCTTTTTCACCGGAAATGACTACAACTTTTGATTTTTAAATAGCAGCTTCGGTGTTTTTTTACTTTATTCGATAGAAAATGACATTCTGAATAGAATGTCATATCATATGTCAACTTTTGACATTCTCGCTTAATAAAAAATTGTATTTTATAATTCAATCTAGAGTACCATGGCTATGTTAAAAACAATAATTCTTCATCAAGGAGCCTTGGAAAAATATATTTGATGGTCTAATGTTTTTAGTGTCTTATCCTGGCCAGTTAGAAAATGCTCAAATCGTATTTTTATCATATCTCAATTTATTCAAATAGAACCAGGGTGGCTCATTAGCATATTTGGAAAAAGCATTTTTTTACGAATAATTTGGTACCATACACTTGGTATTTCAAGTCAAATTTTCGTTACGAACCGCAAGTTATAATTTCAAATAAACCATATGCGAAAATGTCAAAAGTTGACATATGATATGTCATTCTATCCAGAGTGACATTTTCTATCGAATAAAGTAAAAAAATTCCGGGGTGCCATTTAAAAATCAAAAGTTGTAGTCATTTCCGGTGAAACCGGAAGTGACCGAAAACAATTGAATACGTCAATCAATCCTAATTTATGTCATACCAAATTATAGTATCATACCAAATTTCTTTTCTTTAACTAAAAAAATAAAAAAGTTATAGGGGTGAGCCACTTTTGAGTCGCACTCGGTATATGTAGTCTAGAGAATATGATACATAAATAAGTTTAAAATTGTGTGTGCACTATGTGCGCATACTTGAAGTGAAACTTCTTACCAACAGCCATTAATTGAAAGATTTGAAGGACATGTTTGAAAAAGTGTAATTTGAAATGTTGAAAAAGTAATAAATAAACTGCTTCACTTTCACAATATTTGTATTAAAATGATAAAATTAGTACTGTATAATAATTACAATGTATAGTCTATAGTACCTATAATTAATAAAAAAAATTGATTCACTTTTTTTTCACAAAAATTTGTACTAATATAAATATTTTTGTTAAACACACGTGGAGTCGTAGACTCTCCTTACCACGTTTTGTCTCGCGCTAGCTTGTGTGTCACGGCCTTGAATTTCTACTCCCAGCGCGTGTAACGAAGTTTCACACAAAAATGGTGCGCGTGACTGATTAATGAATGAATGTTAGGATAATCAACACTACTGTATTCCGAAGTGTTTAGCTGCACAAAATGATAAAAGGTATATGCATTTAAAAAAAAAAACAATGTTAAACCTAAAACTTACACTTTGAAATCGCCGAGCGGTTCGTGCAATCTTCCATCCACGATTCTTATATCATCGTTTATGTACTTCAGCTTAATTGTTATGTTTGACGGATCTGCATCTTTATTACATCCAGACTGAGAATTACTATTTAAAACGGTTTTTACTTCCTTATCGTCTTTACATTCTCCTTCTTTTATATCAGAATGAGTAACTGTTTTTCTACCTTCCAACTGGATATTGCTTGTTGCTACTCGTACATGAAAAATAAATAAATATAGTACAATTTTAAGCAACATGGTGATAGATGTGTAAGATTTCATATTACAGCAGTGAATTTATTGTACAAATATTGGTACATGGAAAAATCCAATAAAATATTGCTGTATGCTAGAGCTGTATGCTATTGTAGTATGTAAGAGCCACAGGTCCTGTGGCTCTTAAAAAACACAAAAAATTATTTTATATTTTAGAAAGTTTGGCGCAGAATTTTGAATACCCTGTATGATTTAAGATTACGATATTTATACCAAAGTTAAATCTAGACCGTCTAAAGTAAATACCTCATATACTTTTGATTTCAGGACAGTTCTTGTATTTGTAATAATTTTTTAAGAAAGGCTGAAAATATATAATATTTTTCTTTATTTATTAATATCTCTGAAACTAACGAAATATATTTACTCATATCTTAGGATTATGTAAAGTGACCTGAAAGGAAGCCAAAAATATAATAATATACTGGATGCTACATTTAAAAAAATCATCCCAATCTACTGATAATTTTTTGGGCCACCCTGTAGAAGTTAAAATTTTTCCTGAAATACATTCTATTATAGTACATACGAGTACTTTAGGTTTGCACTTAAACAAAATTCCCAAGTTTTTTATTCTAGGGGCTTATGCCCGACGCACTATTGCCGGACCCTGTACAGGGTGGCTCGAATTCGACCTTCATCATTGGGATTTCGGAAACCGTAAGAGATACAGGATCGGTTAAATGGAGGCAAAGTTGCGCAATTTGATGCTAAATAAAATGCCGTATTGCATTTTTATTTTTTATTTTTTTTTGCATAAAATATTCTGATGATGGAATTTTCTGTACGAAACGCCGGCAAATATCAAAGTGACTATATATAGTGTTTAAGGAGTGATGACATGATTTAATAAAATTGAAAAAAAAGTCAGGTCCGTATTTAAAAAAATTAAGTTGATGATGGTCGCCAGAAGCCGAAACGTCAGTCAATATTTAATCACACAGAGTTATAGAGCAGAAAAAGTGGCAATGAAAATGTGTTTTTCATTTTAAGTTATCTTAACAAATAAAGCCAGGAAACAATAGAAAACAAAATTAAAAATTCCGTTTTTTTTCGAATATATTCGGAAGTATTCGGAATTTTTCAAAATACAATACGACATTTTATTGAGCATCAAATTGGGCACCTTTGCCTCCATTTAACCGATCCTGTATCTCTTACGGTTTCCGAAATCCCAATGATGAGCGTTGAATTCGAGCCACCCTGTACAACAGATTAATATAAATGTTATATTTAGAATTAATTAAAAAAAGCATTTCAGCTACTTTATTTACTTAAATTTTAACATAGGTGTGTTAAAGATTATTCTTCAATTACATAATTACAAATTTACAAATAAATTATCTGGAATCATTAGACCAGTTAATGTTGCTTTTAAAATTGAAATAAATGGAGAGTTACAACAAAACTGTTATAATAATAATTTAGCTTTCTGGTCATAAAAGTTAAAAATAAGAAAAAAAAACGGATAAAACGTTAAATGGTAATTATCCAAAAATAATTTATTGCGCATCAAAAATAATTTATTGCATATCAGGTATTAAAATAATACATGACATTACTTTATAGTACCAGTAAGTTTTTGCTTTTCTTTCCTTCTAAACTTGTTTTTCGAATTTAGGCTGGAAAACTGGGGAGGACTTGACATTATTCTTCAACATTGACGTACTCTTTTGACATAGTGACTCTGTCGTTATTTACAACATGCGCACAACCCTTCCATAGGTGTAAGTTCATTTCAAGTACCTAGCTTAGGACTAGATGTTATTAAATGTTCCCGAGCTAGGCATGTTCGGTCTTCCGGTATACTGGTATCAGGACCGGTACTTTTGAAATATTCCGGTACCTATCGGTATTGTCTTTTTCAAAACCGGTATATACCGGTTTCGGTACGGGTACCGGAAGATAGATTTTGGTACCGGTACCGGCAGACGGGTTTCAATCGGTACAGAAAAATAGATTCATGATAATATGAAAATTAAAAAACCTGTATAAAACGATTTCGGTACCGGTTTTTGTACAAAGCTGATTGTGTTCTTCTACTCTAGGTCCGTATGATTGAAAAAAAACTGCGTCAGCGATGGCTATGAAATGAAGATAGCTGTCATTTTATATGTAAAATTATGTGGGAAATGTAATCGATATTTATTATGCTGGTGATGCCAACTGGACGCCGTTTTTTTCGATCATTCGGTATAATACGGTCAGGAACATGCAATGTAATTGATTTTGATGTATATTTAAGGTATTGCTAGTCTAGTTTGGTCCAGTAAACTAGTCTTCTTTTTTAGTACATCTAAAATTCAAGTAAAGCATCTTACTCATGGATCACTCATCATCTATATTATATAAATTAAAATGTCCGTAAAACTCAGGCCGACATTCAATAGCGTCTACACTGTTATTTAAAATATGTAAAATAGCATCTTATTTCCGCTCCATTTATATCTCCAAGAACAGCAGTTTCCAGTACTTATTTTTTGCATTTTTCATAAGTAAAGAGAACGTTGGACAAGAAATCAAGAATATGCCGGAAATTTGAACATAAACAATGAGAATCTTAAGTTTGAACTAACTTAAGATACTATATAGTTGCAACGGTAACGGATAGATTTACGGTATATTACGAGAAATCTAATTTATCCCTCAAAATACCGTATTTATTTAACGTTCTCTCTAAAGTTCTCGTGCCTGTAACTTTCTTTTTTCCTTTTTTAATGCGATATCATGAGGTATATGCTCAATGACACAACAAACAGAACAATTATTTCGGTCTTTCCGATATTCCGGTTCATCCGGTTCAACCGGGCTTTCGGTCTTCCGGTCCAACCGATATACTGGTTTAGTATCGGTCCTACCGATCTAATTGTTGGAACCGGTATACCGGTTGTAGGACCGGTACTTCGTGATTCCGGATACCGGTACTGAAATTTTAGGACCGAACATCGCTATTCCGAGCTACATCTGACATTCTCCATTATTGGACGATCCCGTACGGAGCGTAGACGATCTCTATTTAAATATAAATGTTTATATATATATTTGGTTTTGATAGTAAACTAATTTTAAAGCATCTACAACATTAAACATGTATGACAACTCACCATTTGTACCATACATCACATATTATCTTTATTTCAGTAGTAGAGAATTTTTAAAACACTTCATTTTTTCTAATTTATTTAAGACCAAGATAATAATATTACTTATACTGGGTTGACAAGAGAAAGATCTTGGGTCGGCGTTGTATATATTTTCTTCAAACTTAAGTTGACCAATAAATATATTTGTAAAACATATCTGTTTGCAAATTTGAATCAGTATTGTGTATGAGAAATACAGGGGCGCTGTTATAGGTATATGGAAACGGTCGATTATTAGGTAAAATATAGGAGGTACCGCAAAAAGTTAAATACAAAAGTTATAGGATTTTTAAATATCTATTAGCGAGTAATAAATTTAAGTATACAGGGTCGGTCATAAAGTCGTGTCACATAAAAGTTTCATTTTTTAAATAAAACCCCCTGTATATTATTGCATATTTCAATTCTTCCTTCAATTCTAAGCAAAAATCGAAATACACATAATGTACCTCAAACCAACCGTTTCCGAGTTATTGACTTTATTGAAAATATTACATAAACAATTTGATTTAATTAATTTCGATATGTTCAATTTCATTTAACGATGCCATTCTGCCGAAACTGTGATACTGTTGTAATGAGTTTTTAAATGCCTATTAGCTACTAGTAAATTTAAGTATACAGAGTCGGTCATAAAGTTGTGGCATATGAAAATTTATTTTTTTAAATGAAACCCCCTGTATATTATTGCATATTTCAATTCTTCCTTCAATTTTAAGCAATAATCGTAATACACAATGTACATAAATTGAAGAATTGAAATGTTAAATGAAAATTTTGTAATTTCCAGACTTGATATAATCTCATTTTATACATCTATAAATGCTAACTTGAGAACTAATGTCAAATATTATTAAGTATCACAGTTTTGGCAGAATGGCATCGTCAAATGAAACTGAACATATCGAAATTAATTAAATCAAATTATTTAAGTGATATTTTCAAAAGTCAATAACTCGGAAACGATTGGTTTCAGGTACATTGTGTGTATTACAATTTTTGCTTAGAATTGAAGGAAGCATTGAAATATGTAATAATATACAGGGGGGTTCTATTTAAAAAAAATAAAACTTTTATGTGTCATGACTTTATGACCGCTAATAGATATTTAAAAATCCTATAACTTTTGTAAAATAAAGATTTAAGTCAACGTCTCCTTTTTCCTGCCAGGACTAATCCGGACGGGACCTACTTTGTTTACGCGGAATCCGAACCGCGGTTCTCGGCCATATCATGGCAATGGCTAACCGACTTGGCAAGTGTCTAAATCAACTCTTACTCACGAGATATCCGATCTCTTCCGGCCTCGAACCGGCGTGAATGAGCAGTGTGTGTCAATAGATTTTACACTTTTGCCTTTATTGGACAACAGCACGATACAGAGTTTCGAATCGGTCACCCGTCCATCCACTAGTATCGCCTTGCGTCGCTTAACTTCGGTGTTCTAATGGGAACCGGTGTTTCGACGTAGCTGGGCAGTTGCCCTATAACTTTTGTATTTAACTTTTTGCGAGACCTCCTATATTTTACCTAATAATCGACCGTTTTCATACATAACAGCGATCCTGTATATGAAATGTATTGGCAAATATTAAGTACTTAATTAGTAATTAAGGTAATAATATGACCTACCTGAATCCTCATTACTAGTTGTTGCAGTATTTTCAAAATGAGCAAGTCTTCTTTGTCTTACAGTGTTTTGTGTATCAGCATCCATTGTTTCAATTATATTTCTCTCTTCAAATTCCTGTATATTCTCCAAGTTGTTGTTTTCGGTGGTTGACTCTTCAAAATTTTCTATGTCTGTACTTTCTTCTGTCGTTTGTGAGTTATTAGAATTATTTGCCACTTCGTTAGGTTTTGGTTGAGTTTGTAACGGTTCTGACAAGTTACTGCTTGATTCAGATGATTCTGATTGCTCCTCAATTTGGCTTGATGTTGTGCTAGTTGAGGTTGATCCTATAGAAATATGCAAACATAAATAACAAATGTAATATCAACTTATAATCCATTACCTTCGGATATAGTTACTGTTTCCGTATGATTACTTAATCTTCTAGAAAATCTAATGCCTCTTAAAAAAGATCTAGCTGCACGACTTCTACGGTCTAATAAGAGAACTGTTCTATAAAGTCTTTGATCAGTAATACTTGTGGACCACCAAGCGATGTATACTAAAATAATTAAATATTCGCTATAAGCAATTTCATAATTATACGAGATGTCTCCAATATCCTTGAACACAGAAATACTACGTATTTTTTGAATTTGGACACCATTTATTTAAAAATATATTTTTTTCTTGTGCCCGTTAGAGGGCATCAATTAAAAATAAACTCAAAAGTTAATAAATTTAGAATTTATGAAACTTGTCAAAAATTATTTGTTACACTGACATAATATTCCACATTTTCGCCAACCGTATGATCGAAAAAAAACCGCGTCCAGTTGGCTTGGAAATGACGATCAATTACATTTCCCATATAATTTTACATATAAAATGACAGCTCTTCATTTCACAGCCATTGCTGACGCCGTTTTTATTTGATCATACGGTAGATGATTGGTAGATACCATATATTTTATGCCCCTACTTGATGCGATCAAAAGTATTTTTGTACGTTAGCTTCGGAAAAAGGACTCTCGACAACTAACCGAGGTGGCGTTTTTTACAAGCGACAAAATATATAATAACTAAAGGTTGGTCGCCCTCTATACCGCGGACGCGGCGCAGCGCCATATAGAAATTTCTTATGTCTGCTTGCTATGTAGTTAAACGGACCAACGCACACTAGAGCGCGCAGCGCCGAAGCGCGCCGCGGAATTTCCGTCTAGAAGTCGGAAGACTTCTCTAGCAACTTTTTTCCGTCTCCCGCATTTCGACGCGTTGCAGTGTGCGTACTCGCGACTCGGCAACGGAAATAATTTTGCATCTCGAGTCTCTTCAGTTGGCTATTTGACTGGGAACTAGTGATACGTATCAATGGTAGAATTGTATTTTTTAATTAAGCAAACAAATTTTCATAAAGGAATATTATATGTTTTTAGTCTTTCCTCACTAGAGGCGGATGGATGATATTTTTCTATCAAAGATTTTATATTACTGAGGGGTGTAGAAGCAAAACCGGCAATCTCCATTTTTTGACAAAAGTGACAATCTCCAATTTCTAATTACCTAAATATATAAAAAAGATTAGGGTTTTTTCTTCACATAACTAATATACACATCAGAATAAATAAGAATTATCAAAAGTCGTCAGTATAAGCGATTCATTATTGCATTAGTAGTATTCGATACAGTCTCTTCTGAAAAAATATGATTAGTAGACATAGCCGGTGTTTTGCTTTTAAAACACTCAATTGAGGAGTTCGTAAAGTGTTTCCTTTATATTTTGTAATACTGAAAAAAAATGCTCTTGTCTTTTATTAAATCTGCTTGTCGTTTATTAAATCAGGAAAAAGATAGAAAAATTCTCCAAACTTCTTTTTTTTTGTTAATTTTCAAATTTTGAGTCCAAACTTTCCTTTTCTTCTTCACCTGCTCTTCCTCTTCATCTGTTAGAAGAGCACAAAAAATACTGGCATTATACTTTTTATGAAAAAGTTTAATGCCAGTGGCGTAGCTAGACCCCTGCTAATACCAGTACTCGCGGGAGGAGGGTCCTCTAATAAAAAGAGCCCCGGTCGACCAGCTAAAAATTGAGGTACATATTGGGGCCAGGAACCCAATACCGAGAGTTGCGCTAGAGCTCAAAATTTCTAATCACGCCACTGTTTGATACTAGTGATTGGAAGAACCGATTAATTTCAATAATCGAATACTCGAGTATCAAGCGATTGCAATAACCGAGTGATCAGTCGAGCGATATATACGAGTGATCACTCGTATTTAAAAATACGGTTTTCATCCGTCGCATGTTGTAAGTACTCGTTAACGCCCAGCGCCAAGCAGTAAGTTGCGTGCGCAGGGCACATATTCTTTCGGTAACGAACGGCAAGTAGTAAGCAGCGAGCGATTCGCTTGATTTAATTTATTTCGAAGCATTGTCGATGTGGGTCGTAAAATTTTGTCCCTCAGATACGCAACGGATAAATATACCAAGTGCGTCTCAAAAGTGGCTCACCCCCTATAACTTTTTTATTTTTTCAGATGAAACAACGAGATTTGGTATGTTAGTATATGACATAAATTAGAATTGATTGACATATTCAATTGTTTTCGGTCACTTCCGGTTTTACCGGAAATGACTACAATTTATGATTTTTAAATGGCACCCTAGGTATTTTTTAACTTTATTCGGTAGAAAATAATATATCACATGTCAACTTTTGACATTTTCGCATATGGTTTATTTGAAATTGTAATATGCGGTTCATAACGACAATTTGACTCGAAGTACCAAGTGTGTGGTACCAAATTATTCGTAAAAAAAATATTTTTCGAATTATGCTAATGAGCCACCCTCGTTCCATTTGAAAAAAATTGAGATATGATCAAAAATACGATTTGGGCGTATTTTAAACGGCCAGGACAAGACACTAGAACATTAGACGATCAAATTAATTTTTCCAAAGCTCCTTGATTAAAAATTAGTGTTTTTAACACAGACATGGCACTCTAGATTGAGATTTAAAATACAATTTGTTTTTGAGCGAATATGTCAAAAGTTGACATATAATACGTCATTCTATTTAGAATGTCATTTTCTATCGAATAAAGTAAAAAAATTGAGGGTGCCATTTAAAAATCAAAAATTGTAGTAATTTCCGGTGAAACAGGATATGACTGAAAACAATTGAATACGTCAATCAATCCTAATTTATGTCATATACTAACATACCAAATCTCATTTTTTTATCTAAAAAAATAGAAAAGTTATAGTGGTGAGCCACTTTTAAGACGCACCCGGTATATACGTCGTGTAATTTTGCTACCTGCAATGTATGTAGAAATTCGCTCGGCTTTTTATCGAGTACGTCACATTAAAATCGGATTTCAATTTATTTCATTCTAGGATCACTTGCGTTCGTCGCGTGGTACTCGTCACTTGCATCGCTCGTTCATAATCGAGCGATGTCAGTTATTTCAATAATCGAGTATTCGAGCGAATTTTCGCTCGAGTTATCCCATCACTATTTGATACCCTCTAACGGACAAAGCACTTTCGTATAGAAGTAAATTGTGTTCAATTAACGTAATTTGATTCATGACACTTTTAATGATAAATGCCTACTATTCAAAGAGCGAAAGTCAGATCGTGTCTTAGACAAGGAAAGAGAGGGGACAGGTAACACGGCAGCTGAAAGTGAGGCAAGTTGTCACCACGCGAAATTCTCCAATGGCGTAGCATCAGAAATTAGCTTGTACCTAGACGGTACAAAATATTTATTAAAACGTAAACTAATATATCTAATATATAATCTATATAATCGTTCATTTTTTTCTCTATATAATCGTTCATTTTTGAGTAATGCATATACAATTTTGTATTTTATAGTCTCACCTTTATAATATTAGAATATCTAAGTCGATAATGCAAAATTTATTTAACAGTCACAGTGGACTGATTATCAAGACAATTATTTATTTATTAACGTGTGAATAATGTATAATTAAATAAAAAATAATGTAATAACATATGCTTTAAACGTGTATATACATATATACTGTATGATCGAAAAAAAAGGCGTCTTGTTTGTTTGGAAATGACAATTTCACAAATGAATATTAAAAATTACATTATTCATTGAATCCATAAGCAAGTGTGAAGGGAATTGACTAGATTCATTATTATACCGTATAATCGAAAGAAAAACGACGTCCAGTTCGCTTGTAAATTACGATCGATGATATTCCCCATATAATTCTACATATAAAATGATATAAAAACTATACAAAACGACATCGAAAAAAGACGGCGTCAGCGATAGCTATGAAATCGTCGGTCGTCATTTACAAGCCCACTGGACGTCGTTTTTTTTTTCGACAATACGGTATAATAATGAATCTAGCCATTCCCCTTCACACTTGCGTACGGATTCAATGAATAATGTAATTTTTAATATTTGTTACCTTCAATCATAAGAATATCCTAATTTTCCACAAAAAAAATAAACAAAGCTTTGTGTTATTTTATTTATTTTTAAATTTATATTAATTACTCACTGAGACTATTATTATACACCTAAATTAGCAAATTTTTTGAAAGAATATTTAAAAAAATATATGTAGTAACAAGTAGCCCACCACAAGTTTGTCCACCCCCAGCAAATCTTGGCAGGTAAATTTAAGTTTTATATAACAACTATACATATAGATTTTTTATCACTAGAATTTTTAATTTTTTTATAGTTTACAATTATTTTACATATTTGATAACAATACTTTATACATTTTTTTACATGTAAAATATATAAAAAAATGTTTATTGCAGAAATTGTATTTCTCTGATTACAATTTCCTACGCCACTGGAGAAATCCATGCTGAGTAGCATTATTTATAGTATCAAACATTAATTATAATAAAGGATATTGAGAATACTACTTGGAATTATTAAAAATAGTTTGGTTTGGATGTGGTACAAAACATATTAAAAGCATTTTACATATTTTTACTGCTATAATGAAAAAATGTACATTTTATGACCACATAACAAAAGTTGTGTATCGATTTTTACCTGTGAAATGTAATTCCAGCCACTTTTTTCTCGCTTCGGCCTTTGCAGCCATACGCTGAACATCTCACCATACTAAACAATACAGTTTATAAATTTAAAACAAAACAGTTGTCACAAAAAACATAAAAATTCGCTCGGTGTCACCTCGAAATCTTGTCACCAAAGTATGGCCGCCGATAGAACTTTGGCCTCACTAACCGATCACGGGAGAATATCATATAAGTATTACTTTTTACAAATATACTCAGCCTAATCTCCAAAAAGTGAAGCCCAAACAGTGAAAGAACAATATGGAATTCTACATAAGTCTATTTCACCCGGATATTCATTTAACTGAGCATGCCTCACCTGAAGAAGTTTTCATTGGTCGATGTTTTTAAAGGGAAGTGGTTGACTGACATTTCCCCTAACCTTCAATTTTATTTATATTTTTATTATTTATAACACATTATCATGGAGTTGGAAAAATATCAAAAATAGTTGGAAACAATAAACTAAACAAAATCACTCTTTTACGCGCACAAATAAAAAGTAATCCAAACAGAACTAAAACAACAATCAATCGGAGTTTGGCGCAATCGCAGTTCAATCCATATCCGGGTGAAATAGACTTATGCAGTTTTAATATGGAGCTGGGTTATGTTGTCTTTTTCTTACGGCACAGAAATTGCACACGGCGTTAAATAGGGAACCCTGAGTATATTTGTAAAAAGTAATACGTATATGGAGAATATGCGTGTTAGCCGTCCCCTCTCTTTCCTTGTCTAAGGATCGTGTCATATTTTCAAAAAAAAAACACAATCTTTTTATTAAATATCGACTTTAATTATAGGAAGTGTTTAATAAAATAAAAAGATTAAAGAAAACCTTGTTCGATTGTAATACAAAATACAGGGTGTTAGGTTAGGTTAGGTTACCATTTAAAATAGTGGAGAAAAATAATACAACATTCAGTTTTGACTAGCCCTGTATACCGGGTGCGTCTCAAAAGTGGCTCACTTCTATAACTTTTTAATTTTTTCAGATAAAAAATTGAGCTTTGGTATGTTAGTACATGACATAAATTAGGATTGATTGACGTATTCAATGGGCTCTTTCACTATATTTTGGAACTCGCCTCTACATATATAAAATGCTAATGTTTATCTGTGTCGTCTCTACTGAAGTAACGACTTGCTCTAGAAAGTTACTTTTTTTACTAAAAGATAGCTAATTGGCTCTTCTAAAAACTGTCGTCGCCGGATTTTTTGTTTTTCATTTAATTAAAAAAAAATAAAAAGTATCTCACTTTCTCACTCTCACTTTCGAACAACTTGAAGTCGTTCTTAAGAAAATAAATAAACCTTGGCTAAAAAAAAATATTTGCCGGTCATTTCAGCCTCGTCTCAGTGTTGTTTTAATTGTAAAATGTGAACGTGTATTTGGATTAATTTTAATTGTATTTGTAAGTTATGACGACCTTTTTATTATTTGTTATTTATTTAGGTACTTTCTTGTTAGGTCTGATGATGCTCGTATATGAGCGAAACACGTGTAACAGTTTAACATTGTATAAACGTTGAGACCGAGACTTTGAGTCTTTTTTCTACTTTTTTAATATGTAGATGTAGATTACACTAATTTATAATTATTATCACTTATTATAATTTAATTGTAATTGTACGCTGGTAATAAGTTATATTGTATTATTATTATTATTTGGGTAATGGTAGCTGACAATATAAAATTATTTATAGAAATATACAGGGTGATTCAAACTCATATCACTAATGAAGGGTTCACGGGAAAAACACGATAAGCTCCATTTTACTAATTTTACAGGAGAGCACTGGACGGCTGGCGGTTATCAGGTTCTACACAACAACACTACTATAAAATATTTTTAATTAGAGTGGCCACAACTAAAAAAAAAGCCAGCAGTGCGATTCTGTAAACATATTTCCTGTCTAGTGACTCATCAATCATATGTATAAAAACAACATAGGCTAGGCAAGAAATTTCTTGCTAAGGAGCTTACAAAATCCCACTGCAGGAGTCGACTCGTAGACAGCAATATCTATAGGCAGACAGTGCCACACAAAATAATTGGAAATATTATTTTATAGCGTTTTAATAAAAATATCTAAGCTCGCTCATGGGTCACTGAATCTTCCAATCGCAAGCAAGGGCGGTAGCTAAAAATCCTTGTATTTCAAAAACTACTTTACAAATCCACTAAGCGAATTTACAATACACAACTTTAGTTTAAAAACAAACAGAAAAAGTATAAATTAAAAAAAACTTTGATATGGTTATTATGGCTGCAGAACAGTTGGTTAAGAACGAGACAACTCGTGGTTGGCGTCTGGGATTAGAGTTAACTCTAGGAAGTTAACTCGTGCTTGGCACTCAACATATTAATAAGTAATAAAATTTAAATGTTGCAAAACCTACCTATAAAAATGCTAAATAAGGAATTAAGAATTACATCAATCATAATTAAGGCAGATCCCAAACAAGTAGTGATATGTCGGTATTTGAGTAACGCGATTTTGGAGCGGTATTTTTTTGCAACGTCGTGTCGCGCTCCACAACCAATCAGGAACCTATTACTGAAGAACGACGATCATAATGACGACAAAATTATAAATTATTTATAATTTACAAATAAATGATTTATAATCGCTCTTGAAGTTAGCTTGAACCGTAGTAACCGCATAGCGACGTGTTTAGCTCCAGCCGTCGCGATTTCGTCAACAGTAGTATCTGGCACTGGTATGTACGTAGCGTCGCGCGTGTTCGCTCCAGCCGTCGCGCTCCTAGAGCCGTAGTTCCGCCTGACCGCAGAAGTAACTGGTAGCTGCTGTAACTGATTATCGACGCTCGACCTCGGCGGCGACGTAACTTTGCTCCGGCCGTCGCGCTCCTAGAGCCGTAGTTCCTCTGTCGCGAACAGAAGTAACTGGTCCCTGCTGTAACTGGCTATCGACGCTCGACCTCGGAGGCGACGTACTTCGTTCCAGCAGTCGCTGGAGCGCTTCTAGTGTTTCGGTTTTGCCTGTCGCGATTTGGTCGGTTACTATTGGCGTTGGTGCTACCGTTGCTACGTTACTTTCGAAATAGTGATTTTTGGTATGTACTAGGCATTGTATAAAATAGCGTTGTTTGAGAGATGAAATGCAAAAGCAAATAAAATAAAATAAACATATTTTATTTGCTTTTATACATTTATATAAGTTTTATTGTTTATATCTATTTTTAAGGTTAGGTTAGGCCAATAAACAATTTTTTTGACAGTGTTGGACTTTGTTCTTGATTTTAACATTAAATGTATTATAATGCATTACACATAAATATGAGCCGTTGATTTTATTTAAACGAAGATTGATGGAAAATAACAAGAAATGTCATCGTTTTTCTAAAAATGAGATAAATTGGCTATACACAATTATAAACTCGATATTTGGAAAATGAGTGGCGGATAAAAGTTACATTAATCTACAAATATAGATAAGTTAGATATATTTTTAGCGAGGACCGCGACACTTTGGAAGTGGAACGTCGTTACAAAATCGCGGTATTTTGTCGCGGTATTTTTCTGAAACGGTCGCTATTGTAACGCGACTCATGTGGAACCAGTATTCCAATCACAACAAACAAGGAATAAATTTTGCAACATTTTGAAATCCACAAATAAGTGTACTAGAATAGTTTTATAGGGCATAAACCAAGGCAATTATTTATATAATATATATATTCCAATCAGCTGCTAAAACTAAATAAATAGATAGCAATAGCCGAGTTCGGAATGGTTAAAAGTGTACACTTCTTGCACTATGGACTGTTACATTTGATTCAAAATAAGTTTGGTGTACACTTTTTATTGTATTTGATAATGCTATGGAGTTTGTACTGTGTAAACACCATATGCTCCATAAGAAACTATGGTGGACTTTGTACGACACTGGTGGTTGAACCATACTTACACTGACTAAAACATACACAACACTATAATGTACCATATCGCTATTCCGAATTACCCTAATTAATATTTGTTTCCCATTTGTAGAACTTTCTTTAGTGTGAATTACAAAATCACAAAAAAATGCCTTTAGATAATACTGGAACAATAATAACTTACCATTAATACATTACACTAACTTCAATGATACACTGAACAAAATAACATAGGTTTGTAGATAAATGCTTACATATGTTTGAAAAGTCCCAACTTTTTGGGTCTTATAATTTATACATATAAAAATGATATTTAAATTATCTATTTTATTTATAAAATAAAATAATAATTACCTATGATTATACTGAAAACTGCTATACAAATGTGGGTTATTACGTCTTCAACACCTTCAATTAATGACCATAGGCGAGAGATACTGATTAATGTCATTGTTTCATAAAAACACAAGTTTTGTTTATAATTACGCACTTCTTAAATTTTGACTTTTGAATTCTAAAAAAACAATAATACTGACAGCTAAATTATTTTTCCATTTGAAGCTCTCACCTTCTAATACTACGGACTATTAAAATCTCTATAAATACAAATATTTTAGAGCTACTTATTTAGTCACATTTATTTATATGTTATTCTGGTTACACATTAGAGAAAACTCGATGAACTACTTAAAAAATCATAAAAAATTTTGACATTTGAGCATTTGACATCAGCTGGTCCACTGAATTTGACATTTGACGTATACACAAAATGTCAATCATACATGTCAATTTGGGTCATATATAAAAGTGCCATTTTCAGAGATATGGACCGACATGAACCTACTGACCCAACTGCTGACCTACATCCATAAAATAATTAACTAGAGCCTACATCCTTCCATCAGACCACAGATAACACATAATCGTTATCTGTGATCAGATCTACAAACAGCTACAAAGGATCTACATCTCTGGTTATTTTATATGATCAAAAATGTCAATACTGTCATAGATAAATTGATGAAAAGTCAAAAAATATCGATATATCAGATTTCGATATTTGTATTTAGTCCCTATTTCAGGTAAAATTTATAGCCTATTCCAGATTCCAGAGATCTCAGGCCTATTCTCTGGATTTTTATATTCGATATGTCTTTGGATATGTACATATGTGTCAAATATAATTGGCAACTGTAGCTCTGTGGTCTCATTTGTTAACAAACAATTTTATAAACTGTAATTGAAAATTTGATGATTTGCTGGAATTTATTTTATTGTTATATTATATTCTAGATTACGTGCGCTAATAATTAAGCAAATAGGAAAATTCCATTCTTCAAGGTGTTTTTCATAAGTATAAGTGGTTTATATTTTTAAAAATCTGAGTCATAAATTGAACATTCTAGTCTTGCTTCGAACTCCAGCCTCGTCTAGCCTGGAATGCGATTGAGAAAAGTTATTCTTGGAACTTGAACTTATTTTTAAAATTCGTGCTGAGTGTATGGTTTAACGTTACCTTAATAAATTGTCTTTATAGATAAATATAAAATCAAATATCTACAGACAGGAGCATAACCTATTACCAGATTACTATGGATAATTGTACGGAAAACAAAGAAATTACAGGCAAAAAATGGTATAGGAAAGCAACTCAAAGGTAAGAAGTGATTGCCGCATGTTTTGTCACACCTATATACTTTTGACAATTATATCTGTATATTAAACCTATCCTATTCCGATCTATAAAGCTGCGCCTTTAAATAAGTAAAAATAGTTCAATACAAACTAACACTATTCCCAAATGTTTCTTTTCATACTTAATTCAAAGTGATATTTGTGGATATAATCAACTAAAAAATTTCGTTTTTATTCAATGTTTGGAAAAATACATTTTTCCAAACTAACAACTTATTTTGAATATACCTAGAGTACCTACCTATTATTTTTAGATTATAGATTTTGTGTAATACAGAAAATTATAATAAAAGAAATTTAAACTAAACAAAGATAACAGATAACATCTTATTTATGTGTTAAAAAAGATCTAACAACCATCTAGGTAATTATTTTGACTGGTTCTTTCATATATTTTGTTTATGTATACCTACATATTAGTACAGTCCAGTTTTTATTACTCTATGATTTCGATTTAGATACACTACATAAAAGTCTTTTGCATAAAATTTAATTCTAGAAGATGAAGACAAATATCTTTTGCCACTTAAAAGTTTCCTTTTGACTCAGTTTATGGTCTTTTGTATACGAATCATTATAAATTGCAAAGCTAAAATGATGAATACTTATTTAACAAGAGTTCAGCTAAAACAGCAATTATTGTGCTGTTATAGATTTGGTTAACCACCCAATTAGAATGGTAAACCTTTATTAGTAAAAAGCTTATTAAAGCACAAAACTGCTGTAGATGTATACATCCTCAGATGCCTATAACTACAGCTTTCCTATAAACTAGGTGGGGATTTTGTTGAGCAACTATACCTAAATACATATATATATATATATATATATATATATATATATATATATATATATATATATATATATATATATATATATATATATATATATATATGGAAGCTTCAAGCATTTTACATTTCAACTGTGAGTATTTATTACACCTCACATTTTGTGATCATAAGGATTGATATATATATATATATATATATATATATATATAAAGATTTTCCCCACGAAAAAAAAAAAAAAAAAAAATATATATATATATATATATATATATATATATATATATATTTATATGGAAGCTTCAAGCATTTTACATTTCAACTGTGAGTATTTATTACACCTCACATTTTGTGGTCATAAGGATTGTTAAACTTCAGAAATTGTAAATTTTATAACTTAAAATACAAATTAAATCTCAAGCGCCTATAGACTTTAAAACATAGTTGTGTGTTGTGTACCTTTTGGGGAGTAGTGTAAGGGGAAAAATTGTAACACTACAATTGTAGCACCTAACACCGTGCTTTGACCGAAAAAATGGCCCCAAATGTCCCAAATATCAGTTTTTCGCAAATATCTGCCAAAATAGGCAATTTACAAAATTTTTCTTGGAATAAAAAATGAAGCTTAGGTAAAACCTACAAAAATGGTCCTTAGCAGTTTCGAGATATTCCGGCTCGAAGATCCCAATCTTCCAATTTACAAAAAGGACCCAGTATTCCATTTGGCGATCATGAATGATCATCTATATGCCATATTTCGGCCAATACCTAATGCATCCAGAGAAAACCCGTTCCTTGACCCTTTAGGGCCGTTTTTAACCGTTTTCCTGGAACTTTACAAAAAAAAGTGTCAGGACCTTTTTTGTAACGGAAGATTCATTTTTTATTCCAAGAAAAAAATAGTAAATTGCATATTTTGGCAAATATTTGCAAAATAATGATTTTTGGGCCATTTGGGGCCACTTTTTCGACGATCGTACACAAACCGTCTAAAAAATCAAGGTGTCCTTATTTATTTACCCTTAATTTGCTATAAACATTGTATTACACAATGTATTAAAGTAAGCATAATGACAATTATAAAATTAATTGAGAAGAATAAAATATCAAGAAATATATTATTTATTAAAATTGAAAAAAAAACATTCTTAAATATCTAAATACGGACAGATCTGGATTTGATCTGACTTATTGATTTTAATCAGTAGATAATCAGTACTCATACACTGCTATAGCATCTACCACACTTACTCTTACACTCTTACATTATTTTTGAATGGAAAATTTGGTTGTAGACGAGGTTGTAGATTACCTAAAGGAGCCACCGCGTTATCAGTGACACAGTTGCATTGCGATCACCTCTTGCCTGCGATTGGAGATTTTTCGGTGATTCATGAGCGTTGAGCATGTACGTACTTTTATTCTAAAGCCGGGTCTAGACCAAGCAAAGAAAACAGCGACAAGACAGAAACATGCATGTTTTACGACAAATCCAATACATTTATGCGACATTTTTGTCTCATTTTTGTTTTATTTCCAAATTCGGAGACTTTTGAATGTCCCGTCTCGAGTCGGTAACGTTCAAAGAGTCTCTGTTTTGTCGTGTATTTTACGACAAGTTGTCAGCGCAGTGTGGATGTCGTGCATTGCCAAAAGTAGGAAACCTATAAAATCACACAAATTTAGTACTGTGGAGTGCTCTTACCTCGTACTGGTAATATATGATCATTAGTATATGGCGGAGTGCTCCATCTTTATAAAAAAAATGTCGGAAGAGAGAAAGTGGAACACGGAAAATGCCTGCAAACTAATAGGGCTTTATAGAGCGCATTTATTATTATGGGAGGGTAAAAACAAGGACTACAAAAATTGTTACCTACAAGAGAGCTGGTGCATTAGAGGATATTTATTTAGCATTAAATATAAACTCGGTTGATGATGTTAAGAAGAAAATAAAAAATATTAATAGCTATATAGTGTACGAGAGAAATAAAAACAAAAACATTTGGTGTTTCTTTTTGCAACATGGGATGACGAGTCAAACACAACACTACTGAGTAAAAACAAGGACTACAAAAATTGTTACCTACAAGAGAGCTGGTGCATTAGAGGATATTTATTTAGCATTAAATATAAACTCGGTTGATGATGTTAAGAAGAAAATAAAAAATATTAATAGCTATATAGTGTACGAGAGAAATAAAAACAAAAACATTTGGTGTTTCTTTTTGCAACATGGGATGACGAGTCAAACACAACACTACTGACCAGGGCCATGTAAGTGAAATATTAAAAATGGTTCCAGCAAAAGTTTCCCAATTACGACGGGTGATGGCGCTGATCATCAAAATTTTTGTACAGGGATTTTGCTTACCGACAATACAACGTGAGCTATAGTGATGGGATCACTCGAGCGAAAATTCGCTCAGAAAAGTGGCTCACCCCTATTACATTTTATTTTTTTAGATAAAAAAATGAGATTTGGTATGTTAGTATATGACATAAATTAGGATTGATTGACGTATTCAATTGTTTTCTGTCACTTCCTGTTTCACCGGAAATGATTACAATTTTTTATTTTTAAATGGTACCCTCGGTATTTTTTTACTTTATTCAATAGAAAATGACATTCTAAATAGAATAACGTATCATATGTCAACTTTTGACATATTCGCTTAAAAACAAATTGTATTTTAAATTTCAATCTAGAGTGCCATGGCTGTGTTAAAAACACTAATTTTTAATCAAGGAGCCTTGGAAAAATAGATTTGATCGTCTAATGTCTTTAGTGTCTTGCCCTGGCCGGTTAAAAGATGCCCAAATCGTATTTTTGATCATATCACAATTTTTTTCAAATGGAACGAGGGTGGATCATTAGCATATTTCGAAAAAGAATTTTTTTACGATTAATTTGATACCACACACTTGGTACTTCGAGTCAAATTGTCGTTATGAACCGCATGTTACAATTTCAAATAAACCATATGCGAAAATGTCAAAAGTTGACATGTGATATGTCATTCTATTCAGAGTGTCATTTTCTACCGAATAAAGTAAAAAAATACCGAGGGTGCGATTAAAAAATCAAAAGTTGCAGTCATTTCCGATGAAACCGGAAGTGATCGAAAACAACTGAATATGTCAATCAATCCTAATTTATGTCATATACTAACTTACCAAATCTCGTTGTTTTATCTGAAAAAATTAAAAAGTTATAGGGGTGGTCCACTTTTGAGACGCACCCGGTATATTTATCCGTTGCGTATCTGAGAGACAAAATTTTACGACCTACATCGACAATGCGAAATAAACTAAATCAGGCGATCAAGCGAATCGCTCGCCGCTTACTACTTGCCGTTCATTACCGAAAGAATATGTGCCCTGCGCACGCAGCTAACTGCTTGGCGCTTGGCGTTAACGAGTACTTACAACATGCGACGGACAAAAACCCGTATTTTTAAATATGAGCGATATTTCGCTCGAGTGATCACTCGGTTATTGCAATCGCTTGATACTCGAGTACTCGATTATTGAAATTAGTCGGTTTTTCTCATCACTAGTGAGCTACGACGGGACCAGGACCAATCAGAACGATCAGTCTTTCTTGGACATTTGCCGTGGAAGTGTGTGTTAATTTCTGTTGTGATAAGTGTGGTTGTGTTTACAGTTTGATTTTTCGGTTTTGAAGGATATTATGTTAAAAAAAAATAAGGATATTATGTTAAAATTAATTTTGAAGTATTGTATCACCTGTTTTTATGTAATAGTACTTTTTTAGTTCTATGATCTGATATGTTATGATTTGTTAATGTTTGTTTAACAATGTTATACCAAAGAGGTTATACTTAATATATCAATTTGCATAGCATAACTTTTTAATCAATAAACTTTATAGATTTTCAGATTATTTAATTCCTTTTGTTTCCGTTTGTAATTTTATTTTTAAGACATATTATGTGATTGTTTCACATAATATGTTTTAAAAATAAAATTGCAAATAGCGAATAAAAATAATTAAAATAAAAAAGTGTATTTTACAATTCCCGCCTGTTTCGCCCGGCCCCGCACCCCTTTAGCTATCCTGTAAATGTCAGCTACAACGAGAGATGGCGCTACGAAAATGGAACCGATTTATTTCAAGGAACTTGGGCTTCTTTTTCGTTAGTATATTCTGTGCTACTGACTGCTAGTAATATAATAATATCTTCTTCCTGGTGGAAAGGCCACATGATTAATAAAACTGATTACTGAAATAAAACGCATATACTGAACTTTGTTACACTTTTGTCCTAGCGGTATAGACACTTTGTCTTAAATTTGTCTTGTCGGAATTTCTCTTTTTTGTCGCAGATTTGTTTTGTTTTTGTCTCAAAATCGTGTTCACTTTCTGTCGCCTTGGTCTGGACCCGGCATAAGATAATAAAATATTTCTAAATTATATCGTGCGATACTGTCTAACGCGGACGAGGTGTTTACTGGCATAAAATGGCCTAAGGAAATATATATTATATTTCAGAAATCTGCCTAAGGCTGAGCTCGATCCTTTCGTGTTAAACCACACCTAAAATTCCAAACACACATGCTTTAATTAAGGCTTGATTAAGGTTTGCAGAAATTGTGCATTTGCCCTAAAATAGCGATCAATTTGTTACAAAACCATATAAATTATATATCACTGTAATCTAGGGTTGCCAACCGTCCTCTATTCCAGAGGACAGTCCTCTTTTTGATCGTATTGTCCTCTTTTCTTTCACGTATTGAAAAAATTCTCTTTTTTGCATACCAAACTCAAACAAAAAATATTCGTCTATTGCCAAAATGTTTCATAAAATTGTTAATTTGGCAACAGTATGTCTCTCGCTACTCCCACTCGTTTTTACAGAAAAAAAATATTTATGTACAAGAAGTATTTGTGAAAGCGATGCATCAATAGCTTTTTTATGTTTACTTACTGTTAGCTTATATTTAATAAATTTTGAGTATAAATATTTTTGGGAAAGTAAGAAAGAGCATCAACCGCATAACGTTAACATAATTTTTGGGTAAATTCTTGACAACATTTGGAAGAGGTTTCAAAAAATGTTTCGCCTGCGGCGCTTTTCTGCCCTCTCATCCTCTATTTTTTTTTTATTTTAAAAATTGGTAACCCTACTGTAATCAAAAAACTTCAATCTATTTCCGTATTGTAACGGAATTTTAAATTATGTCTTTATTTTCGAGAAAATTTAGTCCAAACAAGGAATATTTTGTTGATGTTTGACCATCAAAATCTTAAAAATAAAGAAGTTGTCTAAAAATGTGCTACAATACGGATATAGTATAATCCTTTATCTTTAATTTTCTTCTTCATTTGTGTAAAAATACCTAGCCAGTTTTACATAAAACGTTAAATGCCGAACGCTTATTTTGCTACTTTTTCGGACTAGTGAAATCGACTCTTAAAAGAAAAACATAATCCTCGGAAGAATATATTCTTATATCAGTCTCGCACGAAGTTTGCTACCATTTAGTTAACTAAATGATTAGTTTAAACTAATGTTTAAATTTTGGATTATTCTTAAGTTTTACTGGAAAGTCTAGAATTGGACCTCAGTTATAGTTTTCACGTTTTAACAAGAATTTAAAATAGAAAAAAGGTTATTCTTTTGCCTTAAAAACAAGAACGCACAATACAGTTTGTACTACATTTTGTCTTACTTTGTTCGTTTGCATATCGAACGTAAAAAGAAACAAAAAATACTTTTTTGGCATTTTGTGACTATATTTCTGGAAAAATAATCAATATGTTAAGATTGTGGGCACAGATATCGTTTACTATCTAGATAAGTAATGACGTTAGTTCTTTACATTTCTACTTTCTGTTTATATACTTATCGGTCCACAATTATTTTTCTATCTCTTTCGACAGAGCTAATCTTCTTCGTTGGTGGCATCATAAAGGTCATTTAAGTCTGACGTATTGTTGTTTTAGTTCAATAACTATAAGCACACAGCGATTATTTTAACATTAGTATTTTATTAGCTGTTCGAAGAAATGAAGGAACCTAAGAATTGTTTATGTCAAAAATTAGACTTATTAAACGTTGCCACTACGAAGGTGACGAGAGACAGGGCAAATAGCACTGCCGAAATGGAGTACTTTACTAGAGGCCGTTCTTCGGACAGAATTGTAGCTCACAGGTAAATTTAAATCATATTGCTATAATAATTTCTTTAATAGAAAATTGTATCATAATAATACCATACGATCGAAAAAAAAACAGTGTCGAAGACGGCTGGAGAATGACAATCGATGATATATTTTTTTGGAAATAGATTTGTGTGTCTGGAAACGTTCTATCCTTTTTTAATAATTCTAATATTAGTAGAGATGAGCAAAACTGCGATTCTCCAATCACTTGAGATATGATTAAAAATACGATTTGGACATCTTTTAACTAACTGGCCAGGACAAGACGCGAAAAACAATAGACGATCAAATCTATTTTTCCAAGACATCTTGATTAAAATTAGTGTTTTTAACACAGCCATGACATTCTAGATTAAAATTTAAAATACGATTTTTTAAGGGAAAATGTCAAAAGATGCCATTCTATTCAAAGTGTCATTTTATATCGAATAAAGTAAAAAAATACCGAGGGTGTGATTTAAAAATCAAAAGTTGTAGTCATTTCCGGTGAAACAGGAAGTGACTAAAACAATTGAATACGTCAGTTAATCCTAATTTATGTCTTATGGCGCATTCTCACGACTCGTGTACTTGACAAATATTTGTAATTGGTATACACGGTGCGTCGGGCATCGACACAGAATTTCTAAGTTATTTATTATAGGAGCTACGCCGCATTCCCACCAGACCCTGTCTACCAAAAAAAAAAATACTTGCCAATAAAAAGTACACGAGTCGTCAGAACGCACCATTATACTAACATACCAAATCTCGTTTTTTTTTATCAGAACAAATAAAAAAGTGGGTCTGTTTCACTTTAGGGCTGTCAAAATTAACAAATTTTCTATAAAATAAAGTGGATATTCTGCTTTTGTAGACTAAAATAATCAGCTTGAGGTAAAGAAAAATATACGATTTTTTTTGTAAAATAAACGAGAAAAATTTTCTAACCTCAAAAATATTTTTGCGCTTCTTCATAGCTTTTCGTGCAATATTTTACGCCCAATTTCGGCAGTATTAGTTTCGTTTGCTGTTGTTATGTAGTTTCATTGCTCTATTTAACCCAAACTCTACATTTACCATAATATACATTTATTACAAACAAATAAAGAAAATCAATGAATATCAAAAAAACAAATATAAATAAGTAAAAACCAACCAACTCCACCAAATAACCAGCCTAATAACTAAATCAATCCAACCAAAAAGAGTGAAACCAATGCAATTAAATCACGCTATAAGCGTGTTTTAATAGCTATGGCAATATTGCAAAGGTAATTTGTAATAAAATGAAAAACTACATTATAAAAAAAAACAAACAATTTATTTAAATTAATTTATTCAAAAAGTATATCTTTCAGTTATATGTGTAATTATTTTATTAAAACAATCTTCTAGTTCTTCTCATACCACATAAAATGATCGATATGCTCCTGTAGCATACCAGACTGCAGTACATGTAACCTTGGGCGAAAGCCTTTCAATCTCAACCAGTAGCCTTCTACGTAATTTGTATTAGCGCCTGTTTCTAGATAGACACAATTTCTTGTGTGGTTTACCGTTTTATCTGTTACGGTGAAACTCCACGTAATGTATTTAGACTTCTGTAAGCCACATACGCATCGGTCCAAATTTCACTTCCTGGTAATATGTATTTTTCAATTTGTATCAGGATTGACTGTCTTGTACGGTCTTGTAAAAAAACTACAACGCCTCTCTTCGCTGTCACATATGCCTAACACCCACTTTTATGGCACAATTCTGCCAACTTCGTAGTATGGGTACTCTTGTCTATTTGTATAATACGCCCAACACCACCAAATTTGTATTCTTCGGGATCATTTAACAGTTTCCATGATGCGATGTCGCGAAAACACCTGTACTGCTGTAGTACCGTTCCTGGCCGTTTATTCAATAAGGATGCTGTCACTTTTAGTGGTGTTGTTAAACAGCTCCAGTGGTACATCATTTGTGAGAAAAATGATTTTAACTGTAACTCACTTTGCACCTATTGCATCTGAATACATGTCCCAATGGATCGCCTTCTTTTCTCTGTAGAGCACAATAATTTCTGCAGTTTCTTTTCGGACATCTATAGTTGAACCTATTCAGCCCAGCTCATTGTAGATCAGCCAATATAACATCATCTGGTCGTTGGAAGAAAATTACCAAGTCCTCTATACTTCTAATATCCATTATCGACTTAATAAATTTACTTTTAGAGCACTATACAACCGAATACTCCAAACGTTCAAACAGAAATAAAACTGCAGGCGTAGCGTCAATTTTAATTCGTCCATATTCCCGGTATGGGCGTGCGCGTTAGAGCAACAAGACTCCATCGGTCGAGGTCAGTCAATTACTTCCATTCGCGCAGATGTGCAGCTCTGAACTGTTCAAAAACGCGATACTCTCAGGGTGCATCTACATGAACCTAGAAAAAACGGATCGGCGTATTGACGTAACGACCTTGAAACGATTTCCAGTAGTTCTATTGGCTGAAATTTTTGACAGATGAATTTTTCAGCCAATAGAATTACTGGAAATCGTTTCAAGGTTATTACGCCGATCCGCTTTTTCTAGGATAATGTGGATGCACCTTCAGAACTATTCCGCGCCATATGGAGGCACCAGGCTGTCGCGCACAGCTCCTTTCAGAACCGTTCTCGAGTAACCCAGGGCGTAAAGCTTTGGAAACTTGAAATTCGCGAATGGAAGACAGCAAATCGGAACGTAAATATCGAACACCCGACATTACTCCGCCGCCTCCACGTCGAAAATAGTACCCATTTGTGTTATTTGTTTTATAAAACTGTTTTAAGAAATCGAATATTCCTCACCTAGTTCTTTCACAAATATCTTTTACTTTGTTTTGGTAACAAAATTTTTATTTTAAATGCAATCCTCGCGACAGCCCTAAAGTGAATCGTCCATATATATATTAACTAACGTATATTGACTCCAAACTGCATTCTGTGAAGCCGAGCCGGTGAAATGGGTATATAAATCTTCGCTCAGTTAGTGAAGCACAAGCGTTGTGCGCAAGCGTGAATTTTTAATTATCGATCGGATAACTAAACCAATCAGAGCATAAGCTGTTCATTCGTACATCTTCGTACGGCTTACGTTCGCGCTTCGTTCGCGATGCGAACACAAAGACAGTCGAATAATAAATGAGGCACTGTGATGAGGCACAGAAATGAGGATCGTGTTTGCGCTCCCGTTCGACCACGCGTTCCACAAGGCCAAGCTAAAACTAATCGATATTCGGAATTTTGGAGTTGCGCTATTGCGCCAGCGTTTTTCTAACAGACGAACTTAGGTTCCTGTAACTAGCGATGGGAACTATCGATTGAATTAGACTATCGAATGGTTACTGAATGAATGATTTCAACTATCGAATGGTTTTATTCGAATAAAATCATTCATTCATTTGTATACTAAAGCATATGTGACAACCTCGCCGTGCGACTAAATGGTTATCGTTGAGCCACGACTATCGAATGTTTTTGATAAATGAAATTTAGTATTCGTTTGATTTTTGTGTGCGTCAGTGCATTATTAGTTCTTCCAAATTTTTATAACTTCGCCTTATAAATACTGTGCTATTTTTGCGTTTATTAAAATATTTAAAATACTAAAATAGTAGTTTTTTTAATTGACGATTGTGTGCGTGTGCAGGTGGTCAAAATTTTTCCGAAAGTTTGTGTGATTTTCCGTAGCCCGATCTTTCAATTATTTAATTTTATATGGTATATGGTCTATTTTTTAATGGGAAATTTTGAGAAGTAGCAATTTTTAAGAGAGATGAGATGAACTTACAATTAATTTTAAAAATACATATTTGTATTTTAGATGTTTTAATAATATGAATTAGTTGAACTTAATAATTATATTAATTAATGTGGTTAAGTAAATGGTTATCGAACTCAGACTATGGGGTGAGAAAATTAAATTAAAAGTTTTACACGTGCCAATTTAAAAAAAAGTTAACGATGTTTGTATTTTGTTTATGCTAATTCTCTTACATGTAGTTTTTTGCGAAGAAATATTTCATTTATTTTTTAGTAAGTAAATACCAGTAAAAGTAAATATTATTATTATTAAATAGTAATATAAAGTACCGAATATAAATAATTTTGATTTCTAATTTTTATTTATATTTTCCTTGCATTACACTGCACGCTTAGAAAATTAATAAATGTTTATATTTCATGATTTTAAAATTTGTTGTTAATATAACAAATTAGTTCTGTAATTATTATTATTTAATAAACCAACGTTGCCACAAAAAATTGAGAGACTATATTATTTTTAAATAGGATCTAATATAAATAATTTTGACATCAAATTTGTTGTTTATATTTTGCTACTACTTAAAAAAAATGTTTATATTAAATGATTTCAAATTTTGTTGTTAATAGGTATAACAAATTATTACTGTTATTATTATTTATTAAACCAGTCTTTGCTTAAACACATTAAAAATAATTTTCCTACATCCAAAATAACAAGTATTATTGCAGTGTAACAACAGAATATTAATAAAAAAATATAAAATATATAGACATACTATCCCTAACTAACTAAAGCCAAACAATAATATTCTTTGCTAATATCAATTAATACCGAGACTAATACCAATATATGGCAACAGCGCCCTTCATAATGTATTTTCTCTGTAAATACTAGCACCTCAATAAAAAAAATAATGTGTCCTTATCTTTATCTGACTCCACAAAAAATCAAAGATGCCGGCTTCTTTCATAGCATTGCCACCGACCGGGTTTTTCGGAAAGAAACCTACGTCGCCGGGCGACAACTAAAATCCAGTTAATATTTTATTATAATCGATCCTGACGAATAAATGAATTTTCTAAATGAATGAATTTTATAAATGAATGGTTTTTGCTGCCGAATTACTAGAATACAATATTTCAAGGCAGATGACGCATTTATTCGATAATTTTTATTCGAATAGTTTTCAACGAATGTTTTTTTACTAGCTATC